ACCTGCATGTGTGTTAAGTGCACCTGTGCCATGCAATGCCCATGGAGGCGAGAAGAGGAGGTTGGATTTCCTTGGAACTGGAGCTGCAGACAGTTGTTAGCTACCATGTGGGTGCTGGGAATTGAACCAGGGTCCTCTTTAAGAACAGCCAGTGTTCTTAACCACTGTGCCATCTCTCCAGACCCAGGAAAAAAATGTTTTAATTAATTTTTTTTGCTTTAAAAAAAAACCAAAAACAAGAAAACAGAGGCTGGAGAGATGGCTCTATGGTTCAGAGTGCTTACTGCTCAAGCAGAGAACCTGAGTTCAGTTCCCATCACCCACATGGGGCAGCTCACAGCCACCAATAATTCCATCTCCACTCCAGCTCCAGGAGATCATATGCCTCTGACCTCTACTGGCACCTGTACTCTCCTCTGCAGTAATCACACACAATTTAAAGGAATAAAATAAATCTTAACAAAAATTTTTAAAAATTTATTTTTATGTGTATGTGTGCCTGTGTGCATTTATGTGTACTGTGTACATACATTCAGGAGCCCACAGAGGCCAGACGAACTTGTCGAATCTCCTCTGAGCCATCTCTCTGTCCCTAAGAACAAACTTTTTATTGTGAAAGTTTTCAAACATACTTTGTTTTATTTTATTTTATTTATTTATTTTGTCTTTTTGAGACAGGGTCACCTTGTAGCCCCCAGCTGTCCTAGAACTCACTATGTAGACCAGGCTGGCCTCGAACTCACAAAGATGCACCTGCCTCTGCCTCCCAAGTGCTGGGATTAAAGGCGTGCGCCACCACGCCCTGCCCTCAGACATACTTTGTAAAATAAGGAGATTGCTGGAGGAAGCTGAAGGAAGACTTGCTGAATCTCTCAGGAAGGAGAAATGAGCTTGTCCTTTATTGTGATCATTTCAAGAGCAGTGTGTTCCAGGCATCACTGTGAATGTGATTATTCAGTTACCAAGACTCTGAAGTTATGTGGTGTCATCTGAGTGATAGACTATTAGGAACCAGCCTATTAGTTTAGCAAATAAAAGTCCTGAATATTTAGATTCGTTCATTTTGTGGAAGAACTGAAATTTAATTACATTATTCTCTTGTCCTTCTTTTAGTCCGTTTCATTTGCTAAGGGAATCACTGTCGTTTTTTATGATCTTTCCTTCCCATTCTGACACTGAAGCTTCCTTTCACAGGTGTTGGATGGACTGTTGGCTCAGTGTGGGACAGTGGAGAATGTGGAACAAGGTAATACGTGAGGAAAGTAGCCTGCTGAACTTGGAGAGGGATGCCGCCTACCTGTCTGTCTGTCTGCCTACATCTGTATAGTTAGTTGTTCAAGGAATATAATTTTCAGATTGGTTTAATGCCTGTAGTGTGCTCAGGCACTGGACAAACAGGGAATAACTGGGTTTGGACTGCTGTTACTTTCCTCCTTCTGGGGTTAGTAAAGCAGATCCCTAATGTCTGTTGGTCGAGGAGCAGGACTCCTACACCAAGAATCTCTTGGAGTATTTATGAAAATGAGATTCCTAAGGCTCACCACATACATATGGAGACTCTGGGGAGACAGCTCGTGAATCAAGCATCCCTGAGTGATTTTTGTGTGCACTCAGATCTGAGAGCCATCAATAGGGACAGTGCTGCACATGCCCAGAAATTCTTTGTTCTCTTCCTGCTATCCTCATTCTTATCTGCTAAAGCTTGAAGCACTGATTTTTAAAAGGAGACAAAAAATGGCCCCTAAAGCTGATATAGCTCTTTAAGAGTTCCAGAAAAGGAGACCCCAAGATCCTAATAATAAAGTTACCAACACTGGGTAAAGATTTTTTGCCTTGGCCTACAAAGCAGAATGCAAACTCCATTGCTTACTGCCTGTGAGCCCATGAAGAAGTCACTCAGTCTCACTGACTCAGTTTCCACGTGTATAAAATGAGAATGATTTTTACCCTTCCTATATCGTTGAATGTGTGTGTCACCCAAAGAAAATCTGTGTAAGGTATTTGTAAACAATTCTAAGGGATTAGAACGAGTTTCAGGAAACAATCATAAAAAACCCACATTTTCATGTACAGTCTGATCCTTCTGCATCCAAGCTGCAATTATTCAGATGTTCTCCACTCTGTGAACATTACAAATATTGTTATTCAATTTCATGCTGCTGCCTGCCTGTGCCCAGAGGTGAAAGAACTCACAAAGGAAACATGCTTTACAAGGATTCTGTTTCTCATTTCCTCCTTCCCTAAACATAGAAAGGGAAGACATTCTAATGACTGGAGATAGTAGACAAAATAGCTTTACAGACATGAACCTATAAAAGCCAGTAGCTTCTCTGGGCATGATGGTGCACACATGTAATCTGAGTACTGGGGCATTGGAGGCAAATTAGTAGCTAAGTCCATGTTATAAATTCTGGACCTGCTACATGAGGAAATTCCAGGGTCTTGGGGTGATGTATGGCCCTTCCAGCACCTGTGCCATGGAGACTGCCCGTCTTCCAGTTACCTGGCAGGTACAGGACTAAACTATTGAGCTATGGGTGATTCCTGATCCAGCAGGAAAACCTTTTTCAGTAGAGTTTTAGGAAGCATAGCTTTCATGACCAATAAAAGAAATTATTTAAATGGAGCTCAGCTCATTCCAGAATCAAAGAACTTCCAGATTTTCTAAAATCTAAGGATCTGGGATCCCTAGAGGATACCTTTATTTAGGAGTCTCAGTCCCAGCCCTTTCTGGGAGTTCAAGGCTACAGCCTTATCTGTAGCTCTAGAAAGCTACAAGCCTGAAGCTCCTGGCATTCTGTGTGTTGGCCCTGAGTGAGAATGGTTATGTACCACACATATGTCCTGCTTTGCAACATGAGGACATCTCTGAGTACTCCTGAGCAGAGGCCAGGGCTAGGCTGGGCTGTGTTGTGTTGGTGGCTTACAGATTACTGGGCAGTTTCAGCTGAGGACTGTGCCTTCTGCTTATGGCATGCCTCACCACCACTCCCCACACCTGCCCAAGGTTGAAACTGCTTTGAAATTATTCAGCAAGATATATTTTTATCCTAGAGCCTTTAAAATTTGGGGGATCCCAAATTCCTAAATTCCTTTGAGAAATCATATGGAAATTATAACCACAAAAATTCACACTTCTGGATCCACTTAAGAGTGGATCCAAGGTTAAGAATCTCTGTAGTATAAGCTTGTATTACATTGCAAGGTAGCTTTTTTTTTTTTTAATGATTTTCTTAAATTATCTTTAGTGTTGTTAACTTTAACTCTCCCAGCACCTTGTTTTGAAGAGAGGATTTGGTTTAGAAATAATTTTTTTTTAGGAAAACATGTTTAGTTTATGTTTTCTGGATTGACTAGAGAAAGCTTCATTTGGCCTTGTGAGTGAATGGATTTTTACGTATGTATTTATGTATGTATGTATGTATGTATGCTGTATTTCAAAAGAGGGTCTTGCTGTGTACCCCAGACCGGCCTCTAACTCACTATCTTTCTGCCTCAGTTTCTCAACTGCTAGGACTCACAGGAATGGTCCTTTATTATTAAATCTCAGAGTCTGTGTGTTCATCTTTAGTAAGTCAGTTAGAATTGACAATTTTCTTTATAGTTACTAGATTAATGCACAGAGACGAATTCAGGCAAGGGAAATAAAGATAGTAATAATCTAGCCTTGTCAATGATGGAAGACTTAAAGCCCTTTCATAAAATGATCATGACCAGACACTGGGAGATGGTGGGTTAGGTTAGTCAAATGGTATGAAAAAATATCAGTTTGAGAGACTATATCATGGTGACTCTAGTTAAAAATAATATGTCTACACTTGAAAATTACTGAGAGTACTTTTACATGTTATCACATACAAAAATAGTATATAATACATAAGTTTCTTGATTTGGCCAATCCTAGTGGATCCATTGATCAAAACATATCACATATCACAGATAAATTTTACTCTATAGGATTAAATTTTTCTTATTTTATATATTCTAATTATTTTAAAATAAATACAAATCATAGCAATTGAAATTCATAATAAATTGACCTAGGAAA